ATACACATAAAATCCTGCCACAGGGAGAGAAGATGAAGAGAGCAGAGTCAGAGCTGAGAGTGAGGAGGGAAATGGTGCTGGCGCTTATTGTACCCTGGTAGCACTGCCCTGGCGCTGGGCACACCCCCAGGACGGGAGGTGGAGAGCACCCAGGTGCAGGCACTGAGGGGTGATGCATGGCCTGATCCTGCATGGGAAGGGGACACCAGCACAGCCCTGCACCCTCACCCACCCCAGGCAACACTGTCTCGCACCCCAGGAGTGCCAACCCCCTGCAGAAAAGCCCCATGTGACCCATTGCATCAGCACAATCCACACCCCACAGCTGCCCAAAGAGAGGGTTAAGTCACAAACCCAATCAGTCTGAGCTGCATGATCTGCTGTGCAACCCTGGCTGGGTCATTTCACAAAACCGCAAAGAAATATCTGGAATATAGGAAATGCTCTTAGATTTCAATCAATCACTGTCATGTTCTTAATGCATTGCTCTTAACTAGTTCCTTCTGGACACAAACACCATGAGCTTCGGTTCTCTACAACACAGTAAAACACAAACATGGGGGCTGCCTGACCAAAGGGGACGAAAACAGAGCCAGAGCAGGCAGAGGAAAGGAGAAAAAGCACTTACCTTGGGTGAGCAGCAGGGCTGTGGGGAGAGAAGAACATGAGAAAGACAGGGAGAGAGAAGAAAAGAGGGAAAAAGTTAATATCCAAGGGGAAAAAGCTTTTTGCAGATGACAGCTGTCAGTGAGCAATGGACATGGTGCAAGGCGGCGTGCGAGCTCGCCGGGGCCGCATGCTGGGCACAGGCTGGGGAGCAGACACCAGCAGCAAGATGGCGAGGAGGCTGGTGAGCAACGGCGAGCACTGGGGTGCTGGCTCCCCAAAGTCACACCCCACCCCCACCTCCCCCCGCGAGTGAAGGCAGAGGGATGGGATGCAGGCAAGGAGTAGCGAGGAGGGGAAGGGAAAAGTCAGGGGGGACACTTAACACTTGCCATCGGGGCCTGACGTGACCCAAACTGACGTGAAGGCACAGGAGGTGCCCCTGCTTCAGCAAGGAGTGTGTGGTGGGGGTTGGGTGTGTGAGGAGGGGTGTTCATTTATTTTTTTGTGTTGGTTGGTTTTGGGTAGGTTGTGGTTTGGTTTTTTTTAACTTTGGGGGTTTGTAAATGGATTTATTCTCAGCTGTATCAGCTCCCCCAGACAGCTAACTGTATAAATACACAATTGTTTGTTCTGAAACAGAGATGGTGATGATACAGGGGTGTCTAATACCGCTTCTTCTAGTAGCAATGCAGCCATAAACAATTTGTCACACTACAGCCCAAACTGGTTACAAACCAACATCCTAATCCAGCGCTGTGTATTTAAGTCCTTATGCTTTTAAAAAGAGCAAGCTAATAAATTAATCATCATCTCCTTTCACACACCGCATTAAAGAGACTGTGTGGCAGCAGTATAGATTTTTGCCAAGAAATAAGAACTTAAGTGTATCTGAACTTTGTTTTTGTGTTTCTGTGTTAAATCTAAAGCATTATTTTTGCCCAGTTATATAGTGCAATATTAAAGTCAACATAAATATACAAGTTGTGCAATTCACATTTTACTCGGTGCAAACTGGAACCAAGCCAGCTACTCTTCATTGTCAAAAAGTCAGATAACATAGTGGGTTGCTGACAGCCACCCAGAATATGAGGGCTATACCTTTAACTTTAAATGAAGATGTGATGTTTTTTCTCTGTTAAGGAAGGCTCCTTATAATGCACCAAGACTGTAGCAGGTGCAGTCTGCATCTCCACATTTGCAGGCCAGCCTGCCAACATTCTGCAGCACAAGCAGTGAGGGAAAAAACCCCGAGCCTAGAATGATGGTTTGATGCATCCAATATGCTCTACCACATGGCCATAAATGCTATTTGCATGCGTTAAGTCTCATAAATGAACTTGTATGCTTAACCCTGCAGACTCAAGCTACTTCAGTCATTCACGTTTTGTTAATCCTTCACTGCTGTGTGACAGTTTTTAATGATGGAAAGAACCCTTGATGAGTGAGTTATCCAGTTACCATTTTCTGGGTGACAGCACAATAAAAGACAAAACCAGTCCCAAAAGGCCAACCTCTAGAACTTCAGATCCAAGGTCCATCTTGCCTAGTATTGAACCTACTGTGCTGAGGAAAGGCTGTA